CTCCTCCTCCTCCTCCCTCTCCTCCTTTTCTCCTCCTCCTCCTCCTCCTCCTCCTCCTCCTCGTTGCCGGGACGTACTGCTGCAGTGGTTTGCTGGGCGTGGTCGGCGCCTCGCACGGCAAAGCACCACCATAGGTCAGGAGACCCTGGCCTATCAGAGCGCCGAGGTGCCGGGGCAGGGGTTTGCCAAGGATTACTCTTGATTCGGCCTCCTGTTTTCGCGCCGGAGTTGCCACAGGTTGCACTTAGCTCGAGTTTTCCGGGGCCACCATCTGCCACGTGTAGCTACGTTTTGTCCAGTGCCCTCAGGAAGCAGGAGCTGATTTGGATCAATCGGTGCCTTCGTCTTCCTGGGCCACACTTGGGGGCATCAAGCTGGGCCCTACCCAGACCATGCCTATCCCAGAGAATTTCTCGCAAGGGAGCCAGTGCGACTGCCTTGCCGAGGAGGGTGCGCAGTGTGGCGCGGGGGCGGCGGCGGGCTCCGTGGAGGCACGAGTGAAGGAAAACAAACATAGTTTTGAACAAATGCAAGATGTTTTGAACAAACATAGTTTTGAACGGGTGTAAAAAATGCCAATCCCAGAGAATTCGGGTGCCCAACGAACGGCTCGCTGCGACCCTCACTGGCGACGTGCTGGCCCCGCTGGGGTTGCCGGAGCCTGCCTGGCCGCATCGGCGCGGGCGCCTCCTGCGGGGAGCGCCACCCGTGCCGTCGGGCCTTGGGGCCTCGCGCCCCTCGAGTTCCCAACCCACGTCGGGGGGCCTCGAGCTCAGCGTGCGCCGTGCGGTGGCCCCCCGTCCTCCCCGAGGCCCCACGTCGGGGGTCCTCGAGCTGAGCGTTGCCCCCCGTCCTCCCCGAGGCCCCACGTCGGGGGGCCTCGAGCTGAGCGTTGCCCCCCGTCCTCCCCGAGGCCCCACGTCGGGGGGCCTCGAGCTCAGCGTGCGCCACGCGGTGGCCCTCCGTCCTCCCCGAGGCCCCCATCTCGGGGGGCCTGGAGCGGAGCGTGCGCCGCCCGGTTGCCCTCCGCCCTCCCCGAGGCCCGACAGCGTGAAGCAGTCGCAATGTCGCGAAGCATCCCGCACGGAGCTCCCGACCCTTGTCTTCTTGCCCCGCCGCCTGCTCAACTGCTCCGGCCAGGTCGATCCTCGCGGACCACGGGGCAGAAGATACAGCGAGTGGCTTGAATAAGGGGCACTTACTTTTCAAGAGGAGCCCGGTCGTATTTATCGTTCTTTATGCGTTATGTATTGTTTATCTTTCCTGATGCGTTACTCCTTGGCAAAACAAGGGGCTTCGTTCCTTATTTACATTTCTTTAGGTCAGGCCGATGACTGTATGCCCGCTATGTTTTTGTTCGCGACCTTCGGATGCTGTCCTCCGCCACACGCCTTAAAACAAGGCACCCCCCTTGAGGATTTCTCCTCCTCCTCCTTCTCCTCCTCCTCCCTCCTCCTCCTCCATCTCCATCTCCATCTCCTCCTCCTCCTCCTCCTCCTCCTCCTCCTCCTCCTTCCCCTCCCCCTCCTCCTCCTTCCTCCTCCTCTCTCCTCCTCCTCTCTCCTCCCTCCTCCTCCTCCTCCTCCTCCATCTCCACTCTCCTCTTCCTCCCCTCCGCCTCCTCCTCCTCTTCCTCCCCTCCTCCTCCTCCTCCCCTCCTCCTCCTCTCCTCCTCCTCCTCCCTCCTCCTCCCTCCTCCTTTCTCTTCTTTTCTCCTCCTCTCCTCCTCTCCTCCTCCTCCTCCTCCTCCTCCTCCCTCCTCCTCCTCCTCCTCCTCCTCCTCCTCCTCCTCCTCCTCCCCCTCGGGTCGCCTACAGCCCCGGGGGAAACCGCCCACCCCCCCCAGACCTGGCCCAGAGCGTGTTCTGACCCGGTTTTGAGGGCGGATCCAGGGCCAATTTCGGCTCCTCCGATCCGATCCGATCCGACGTCGATGGATTCCCATTCCGATTCGATTCGGCTTCGGATTCCGATTTGGGCTCCGATTTATCAACCGAGGCCTTCAAGCCTGCCGATTTCCGCCGATTCGACTTCTCCCGACTTGGCTGCCGATTTGCGCCGACCCGATCCATGCCGCTCGCCGACCCGCCCTACCGACGCGATGCTGGGCTCTCCTGGGATCGGATGCGCTTGTTTTTGCGACCCGCGATTGGATGAGTACTTTCTCTCCATTCTTCGCAATTTCTCGCTTTAGGATGGCAAGGTCGTACGTTGTCAATTTCCCAATTTTTTTGTCCATGTGCGTATGTTCCCGCTTTTTAGCTAGCGTGCTGCCTTCTAGACGACGCGGTTTTCGATCTTTCCTTGCAGTCGGCAGCAGGCGCTCTCCCGGATCCTCCGCTCCTCGCCCTCGGTTGCGGGCAATACGTCTGTCCATATCCACTGCAGTATGGAGTTCCGGGCTCCCTCCCCCAGACACCCGAGGCACACTGTACATGGATGAATTTGCCTACCGCAGAGGCTAGGTTGTTATCCATGTCCAGTGCGCCTCGGCCTCGAGGCGCTTCTTCCAAAATTGTTTAAAAGTTCAAGGCGCACTGGATATGGATGTAAGTCTTGCCCGCCCTCGGTGTGCGCCCTGCCCTCCCCATGTGACGAACCAACAACACACACCCATACCCATAGGGGAGTCGGAGAGGGCTATGGGTGCGTGTTGTCGGGTGGGGGTCCCCGCTCGAACGGGAGCATTCCCCAAGGTCCGACAACCCGCACCCATACCCATAGCCAGTCCTCCTCTCAACGACCCCCCTATGGGTATGGGTGTGTGTTGCTCGTTCGTCACCATGTGGCCCGCTGCCGCCGCCGCCCCGTGCCCCGACCGAGGAGGACGTGGCCTCGCTCTTCGGCCTGCTGCAGGTGCCGAACGCGCTCGACGGCCTGCAGGGCGACGTGCCGATCCAGATGCTGCGCATGGCCGGCCGCCCTCGCCGCTGCCCGGCGCCCGTCGTCGCTCGTCGGGCGTCCGCCGTTCGCAGTCTAGCGGCCGCCGTTCGCCGTCCGTCGTCCGTCGCTTGCAGTCCGTCGCCCGTCGTGGCCCGTCGTCCGTCCGTCGTCCGTCGTCGTCGTCGTCGTCGTCGTCGTCGTCGTCGTCGTCGTCGATGTCGTCGTCGTCGTCGTCCGTCGTCGTCCATTGTCGTCCGCCGTCGTCGTCGTCGTCGTGCGTCGTCGTCCGTTGTCGTTGATGTCTTCGTACGTCGTCGCCGCGACGTTCCGATCCATTGCTTTCTGGGCCCCTGAACGCCAGCGAGGTTTCGAAGTTGCGCGCCTTGCTACTATAGTGGAGGAGTCTCTCATCCACATGTTTCCGAACGTTATATCCTGATCATATATATATATATATTGTGGGTCGTCGTGGGATTGACGGAGCCGTCTTTTTCGAGCGCGGGCTACGTTTTCTTTGGAAGCGAGGCTCACGCTCGAGCGCGAGTTTCCGTCGACATGTCTATGTTGTTGAAGGCCTGGTTACAGCAACGACGGCTTTCGCCTGAGATGTCCTCGCAATTTGTCCAGGTCCCCCTCCCCCGCTCGAGACCACCTCGCAATTTCTTCAGGAGTTGCGCTCTCGCCTGGAGCTTCTTTACCATGTGCTTACAAGCCTGACGGCCCGGCTGAAACAACAACGGCTTGCGCCCGAGACGTCCTTGCAGTGTATTCAGGACATCGCTCCCGCCCGATACGTCTAACGATTTACGCATGGAACGTGCTCTCGCCTGGGACGCCGTCACAACTTATTTGGAACTCACACGCTGTGCGCTGAACGGCGCGGCTACAACAGTAATGGCTCCCGCCTGAGATTTTCTCGCAATTTATCTGTTCAAGACTTCCTCGCAGTTTACTCTGGGATCGCGCTCTCGCCTGGTATTTCTCAACGGAATACTCAGAAACCACCCTGGAATGGAAAACATACGATCCCCCCAAAGTGTGCCTTCATAGACTTAGCGGGCGGGTGCCAGGGAGAGGTGGAACCAAATAAAAGTCGAATCCGCCTCCTGGATCACACGGTGGTGAGGTGCTTGAGTGTATATTTGCGACAACTAAATATTTACAGCCCCTCTCCTCCAGCGCCCATTGTATTTTTCAACTGAAGTGCCCCCCAGGGCTCACACAGTGTTTTTTGGTATCAGGGAATGTCTGCTTTGCAAAACTGTGTTGTAAGCCCCTGGCCTGCAACATCAACGACTCCCGCCTGATATTTCCTTGCGATTCTCTCAACACTCGCTGTCGCTCGAGAGTTCTTCACGGCAGACGCAAGGATCGCACTCTTGCCTCGTGCTTCCGTACCATTGACTAAGGCGCTGCGTTCTCGACGCCCAGGAGTTTCGCTCTCGCACGAGATTTCCTCGCAATGGACTCATGACTCGTGCTCTCGCCTGAGGCTTCTCGACATCCACGAAGTTCGCTTCAGCGCCCTGCCCGCCCGACCTGCCCGTTGGGGCCCGCCCGCCCGATGCGCCTTTCAGCGTCTGCCCACCCGACCCGCCCGTTAGAGTTCGCCTGTTCGCCTGCTTGTGACTCCATCCCCTCGCTTGACTGTCCCAGCCGACCCGGTCCTTGGGGTTCGCCCGCCGGTTAGGGCTTGCCTTTTTGCCCTCTTTAATGCCCCGCCCGCCCGACCCGCTTGTGAGGTTCCTGCTCGTCGCCGTCGCCGTCGCCGTCGCTGTCGTCGTCGTCGTCGTCGTCGTCGTCGTCGTGGTCGTGGTCGGTCCCCTGTCCGTCCCTGTTGGGGTCGGGTTGCCGCCGGTCAGCGCTGCCGCTGGCCAGGCTGACGGTCCGCGGCCGCCCCGCCGCTTGCCGGGTCCCGGCCTGGGAAGAACAATGTACCCATATACCCCCCAAGAGGGACACGATCGGAGACGAAGAGGGCGGGTATCGAGGGCTTGGGCAATACACGTTGAATGGCACTCGAGCAGAAAAGAGCGAGCAGTCTTAAACTGATGATTGTTGTTGTTGTTTGTATGGAGGTCCCACTTCTGGATAGTAGTTTTCATTATCATTCTCCTCCAGTGTCCATTTTGTTGGTTTCAAGTGAAGTTCCCCTCCCTGGGCTCGTATTTGTTTTTTCCATCGGGCAATTTTCGGCTTCAGACTGTGTCTTTGGCCCCGCGGTTTGCAACAACACCGGCCCTGGCCTGTTATCTCTTTGCGTTGTACTACATTGCGCATTGTATTGGAACTCTCGCCTTCGATCACGCCCTCGCCACTGATTTCTTCATGATTTAATTGGGAAGCCGAGTGATCGCTCAAGTTTTCTTCGCGATTCATGCAAGACTGACGCTTCAGCGACCCGCCCGGTCGACCTGGCCGCCTGGGCCCGCCCGCCAGACCCGCCCGTTAGGGTCCGCCCGTCCGACCCGCCCGTTTGGTTTTGCCGTTTTTCTCTCTGCCCCTAACCTTCCTGGAGGCGAATCTCTCTCTAAACCCTTCTCTTTCCCTTTTGCCACTTCCCTCCTCCCTTTCGTCACTTCCCTCCTCCCTCCCTTGTCTTTCCCTTTTGGGTCAAGGTCCGCATGCAGGGGTGCATTTCCGCAGGCAGTACACCTGTTTCTCCCAATCACATTTCGAGTTCTTTCGCCGCCATGCCAGAGAAGCACGTGCTTTCTTCTGAACCACTGCGCTCGGCACTCAAACCAGCAGAGAAGATGGCTCGCACTGGCAGCTCACCACTGAAGATCAACGCAGCAGATGCACGTTCATGTCAGACATTGTTCGAACAGCTACTGGATGAAGCAGGCAAGAGCAACAACAGGGAGAACACCAAACACGACTCCTCGAGCAGCCCTCACTGCCGAGACGCTCAGAACTATAATCAACGAGAAATTGGAACCACTGCGGAACGGCATCACGGCTATCAAGGCACACGGTATTCTCGCGGAGGGACCTGGACACCGCAATGGCCCTTCTACGGAAAGACATCGACGACATCACCAATCGCGTAACGGCTTTGGAAACATCATCCCGACCGACATCAGCAACATCTGCAGCGACAGTGGAATCTACGACCAACGCCAAACTACTGCAGCTAGAGATGGACGTCCAGGTGATGAAGCAGCAGCGAGCTACACTAGAACATCCACAAATCCCTGACACCCACGGCACCAACGACATCTCAGACAAAAGGAGCATTACGGCCGTCATCGGTAACCTTGGCGATTTCGTCACCATAGAGGCCGCAAGCCGTTGGATCCAACAAGAAGTTCAACGTCTGGGCGCGCCAGTGCCAACAAACACCTACAGCAAGGTGGAGTTCAACAATATGCTGTTCATGGAGTTCTTGAACTGACGATCGAAACCTTGTGGTTGGACAGCTTCGGGGTGCCAAGATCAGCAGGAAGGGACAACAGATTTTGGCTACGAGCGACCGCCCGCCTTTAGTTTGGGCAGCACGCAACTACTGTTCTGGCGCGAAGTATCTGCTGAAGAACACCATGGGCCTCGAACGTCCCATCCGCGCTGGTGACGGAACAGCCATATACAGTCACAGTCGGCGGGCACTTGGCCCTGAGCGTGACGATCGACGGGGGCGCGGTCATACGCACATGGGCTACGGGAGATTGGGCTGAATGGGAGGAATTACGCAACAACGAGAAATGAATTGAGCTGGCGAAGACGTGCGACGGGATCGTCGAGCGTGCTTCGAGGAATCTGAAAGGCGGCGGAAAAGGGCAGTCCAAAGGGTCCGCCTAGGGCCTACGGCGGGCACTTGCAACCACCGACAGTGCCCGAGCCACGTTTACACGAACTCTGTATTTTGGCTTTGGGGGCGCGGGGATTACGGGCAAAGCCACCGGCACCTCCGCCGTTACGGAATACGAGCGCCCGTTTGTATGGTCAGATTCAGCCGTCCGGCCCGAATCTTCAATAGCAGTTCGCTCTAGCAGATCTCTCGTGCCCAGCCCCCATTTTCCGGCTCCAGGCTTCCAGTCCGAGCGTCTCGAGTTACCTACATCCCAGTTTTGGATATTATTGCGCGCGCGAGCATGGGCAAAGCTATCCTCGAGCAGCGCACAGCGGATTTATTCCCACTTTGCTCAACAATTTGTTCCCTTATCGTTGACGGTCGATTTTTCGTTTCACCTACGTGTGCACAGTTTCCGACGACAAGTGCTGGCTCCAAGGTTCTGCGCGGACGTGCCGAGCTACACCGATCAGGTCATCATCGCGCACAGGCTACGCCGATTTCGACCTCTTCGACTTTGGGTCAGCATTCCGACCACTTACCTCTAGCATCAAACCTTTCACTTCTACCTCCACCCATCGACCTCCAGCCTCCAACATACCACTTTTCGCCTCCACTTCGACACTCCGAACTCCAGCATCCACCAGTTCAGTACTCCGACTTCAGTTTTTCGGCATTCGACTTCCGAGCTCTCTTTCCACTATTACCAGCCGACCTCCAGCCGTCAGCAGCACAGCGCTCTGACCTCCACTCTCAAGCAGCAGACTCTGCAACTCCACCTATCGACCTCCAGATCCACCACCTCCACCAATCGACCTCCAGCTTCCGACAGCCACCTATCCACCTCCACTTCTACCTTTTCGACTTCCGCGTCCACCAACCCAGTATATTCCGACCTCAGTTTTTCGGCATTCGAGTTTTCACCTCCACCACAGCCAGTGGACCCCCAGCCTCCAGCAACGCAGCACTCCGACCTCCACGCTCAAGCACCGGATTTTGCACCTCCACCTATCGACCTCCAGCTTCCACCACCGCCACCTATCGACCCTTCGCCTCCAGCAGCCACCTATCCACCTCCACCTCCACCTCCACCTATCGACCTCCAGCAGCCACCTATCGACCTCCAGCGTCCACCAAAACCAGTATTCCGACTTCAGTTTTTGGGCATTCGAGTTTTCACCTCCACCACAGCCGGTGGAACCCCAGCCTCCAGCAGCGTAGGCTTCCGACCTCCACC